TTACCCATTTATGTATTTTCGATATGAATCAAGGGAGTGCCATCATACAATCCCATTTCCAGAGAGTCTAGGAAACAGAACCTTCATCCAGCGACAGATGAAAGCAGAGGCAGACACCAACAGACAAATACTGAACTGAACTCCTGAAATCCAGTGTCAGAAAGGGATAACTAATGGGCAAAGGAGTTAAGACTGGGCTGGTTTAACCCACAGAAACAGTTGACTTGAACAAGGGGGAGTTCTTGGACTCCAGATGTGTGGAAAGCATGGGACTGACCCAGACCCCCTGAATGTGGGTGTCAGTGAGGAGGCCTAGGTAATCTATGTGGCCTTGGGTAGTATTTATCCCTGGTGTACAAATAGACTTTGAGTGCCCATCCCACAATGATGGATGCTCTCTCAGCCTGGACTCTTGAAGAAGGGCCTAGACCCTACCCTGGATGACAAGACAGACTCTGGATATCCACCATGGAGGGCCTCACCCTCCCAGGGGATTGGAGTGGAGATTGGGTGGGTGACTGGGGGGCCTGGTGGGGAGGGATGGGGAGGAGGGGAAGGAGAGTGAGCTGGGATTGACATGTGAAACAAACGTGTTTCTTACTTAAATTAAAAAAAAAAAGATGCCGAAATACTAAGACAATGATAAGGCTAAGGGAGTATTAACACAGCAGAACTCGCTCTTCGTACATTGAAAGACCCAGGTTTTGTCCCTACCACCACACGAGTCAGTGATGGTGTTGAGAGAAAGGAGCTCTTATACAGTGGGAGTACTTACTATTAATTAGTAAAGAGCCATTATTAAGAGCAGTATGGGCCTCCCTCCACCACATAAAATTATACTGCCCTGTGATCCAGATACTCTATGCCTGGGTGAATATGCAAAGGAGAGGAACCCAGTAAGCTGGGGATACCTGCTCCCTCCCTGTATCAAGGCATTATGTGCATATGTAAGCTATGAAACGAACTCAGATGTTCACAGGTAGAAGACTGGACGACAGTGTGCTCTACGTACACAGTAGAGTATTGTTCAGCCATGGAGAATGACATCATGCTGTTCCCAGGAAAATGGATAGAATCACAGGTCATTATGGTAAATTACATAAGCCAGACAAGGGAATAAGAGGCCCCGTCTCCTCTCTCAAGTGTGAGAGCGTTTTTAAAAAAAGAACACATCCACTTGGATGTCGAGTGGTGATTACTAAGCTGGAGGGAGACTGAGATCACATCTGGAGAAACCAGGGGCATGCATCTGAGTGGAGTTTGCAGATGCATCATGGGTACCAAGTACTTGGCCGGGGCATAGGTGTTTCAGACAGAGATGTGAGGATGGGGGTCCCCTTGCTGGGGATAGTGCATTGGAACTCTGTCCTCCAGCCTTTGGTCCTAGGAACAGCTCCAAGAGTCCTTTCAAAAAATTTTCCTCTCTAAAAGGACAACTGTCATCAGTGCTGAGGGGATGACAGGCTTATACTGCCCTCTGCCATTTAACGGGAAACGATATGCAGCCATCATTTCCAGAAACTTGCTTTTCTTAAAGAAACATGCATGAACATACTCTCCAAAAATGGATCATTGGTTCTCTTTGAGTGTCTGCTGGCAAATGGAACATGGCCAACCAGGTAGGTCAGTTTTAATCTTGAAGAGGATGGTTGGCCGTCCCCTGCAGTGTAATGATTATTTGTGTATCCCTTTTAACCGCAGTCTGCAGAATCAATGGACAGTTAGTGCAACCCAGCCTGCTCAAAAGCCATACTTGCAATGTTTCCCCATAGAGGGGAGGTAATTAGTTGAAACTTATAGAGGAGACTTACCTTAAAAGCCCAGGTGTGGTCCAACGTGGCGGTCCATGCCTACACTGCCAGTAGCAGGGAAACAGAGGCAGAGAGACAGTTGCAAGGGTGAGGGCACCTCAAAATTTACAGAGTGAGTTCTAGGCCAGTAGTCACAGCTACATAATGAGAACCCATTTGTACTCCTCAACACCACCCCCACCCAAATCAAAGTGTAAAAGTCAGCAGCTGCTGAGTCTTTGGTGTTATTGGGTGCCGGGCTCTGGAGGTAGCATCCTTTCTGTCCTTCTGTCTGTCCGTCTGCGAACAGGAGCACTGCTCATCCCATTCTCTCACAAAGACACTGTAATAATGCATATCTCCAAACAAGGCTTTGTTTGTTCTGTCTGGTCCTTGAAAGGAAGACACGGAGATGTAGGGATTAACACAAAAAGAAGTTTGGGATATCTGAGAAGAGGAGTGACTTGCAGACAGTGTATGTATCTATAACATGTGCATAGTGTACATATGTCTACATGTACACACACACACACACACACACAGAGAGGGGGGAGTCTTTTATATGCCTAATAACAGAGAATAATCCTTTTATTCCTGTTTTTAAATGTTTGCAGTTTTACAAACTTACATGGTTTAGTATACAGAAAAAAATAAACAGATGAATGAAGTTGTCTTCCTGTATGGCAGCTCAAATCATTCCATCAGCCAACAGGTATTCCCATCCATCTCTAGGAAATCTGAAGTAGGTAGTGTTGTGAGAAATCCATCTGCACCCTAACAATTACATCTAGTGTCCCTGTTTCTTACCCTGGGGTTCTAATGACAATGCTCCCAGAGCCACACTGATGCCAGTTGGTGTAATGCCCCCACACAACTAAAACCGCTTAAAAATCTAAAACCCAAGAAGCTTCTGTTGCAGAAAAAAATAAAAGCCATCCCCCAGCAGAAAACAAATATTTTGGAAGATTCTTGCCTTGAGATAAATTGCAGTCTCTTCTTAGAAGATATAAAAAAAATAAAATTTGACAAAATTTATGCTTCTCTGGGAAGAAGCTCAGAATTGAGTGGTGACGTGTGTTGGAAAAGTCCCTTTAGACCCATGTTCTGGAGGAAACCAGAGGGGTCATTAAATGTCTTCCAGTGCTTAGTTTTATGTGTTGTCTGGGTCTATGGAGAGTTGGAATACAATTATAAAGAGTGGTGTGAAATTAGAACAGCTCTCTCATCCAGTCACTATTGGCCAGAAGGAATTCTGATCTGTGATTACCAGGATATAAATTTTAGGACACTTAGAAGGACAGTAAAAACATCGACATACAATCCCTGCCTCTGGGAGACCTGTTTTGACGGAGTGGTCAGGAGGTACATGCCAGGGTTTCCATATTAAAGGACTTTTTAATCTAATTCACTGTCAGAAGGCATGACTCAACCTTCTGGGTCTCTCATATCTTTCTGCCTCGTTGTCCTCTTCAGTGAAGCTTGCATCTTACGGTTTTCATATCACCCTTTCTGGATGACACAGTTTGATGCTGAGAGTTACTCTACATTGTCTTATGGGGTGGGAGGAGGTTCTCAAGAACCTTCCAAAAGCAATAGCAAGGCTGCTGATCACCCCTCCCCAGAGAATGGTCCCATTATGTTCAAGCAATTGTGCTGTCTAGGAAAATGGGTGGATGTCCATCTCTGCTGCCATATTGACTCTAGCCTCTTCCCTGCAAGACACCACTGACCAAGTGTCCGATCTGCTGGTGTAGAGCAACCAATGGGCCTGATATTTTGGTCCAGGCTCAGAGGGAGCCTCAGTGTGGAGGTGATGGATAGAAATGTAAGGGGTGGCAACAATGGGTCCCGAAAGAGAGGAAGCTCTATAGCATGAAGTGATTCGCAAAATCAGTGGTTGCCCACGAAGACTGGATCACATCCTGGCTGCTCATCCAGTGTTCTCTTCACTACGCCAAGTTTCTTGTCTTTCAGGGACTCAACCTCAGGTTGTCCTGGAGGACCCTGCTCTTTTAACAAGTCCCTTTCGGGACCCAATGTTTTAATCTCAAAGAATGGTGCTTGCTGTGGAATTTCAGACATCCTAGCAAAGTTGCACAGGGAGCTACTTGGAGACATCAGGACTATTGGCTCTGTCTTAAGTCATTGTTTGCTCATCGTTTTGATGATATTACAATTCCCACGGGAAAAAAACCACCGCCTGATTTTAGCGGGTGATGTGCCGTCCATGCCATTTCCCATCACTAAAAACACACACTGTGGTCGTTTGAATGAAAATGGCCTCCAAAGGGAGTGGTGCTATTTATTAGGAGGTGTGGCTTTGTTGGAGGAAGTGTGTCACTGTGGAGGTGGGCTTGGAGGGTGCACCCAGGGACACAGTTCATTTCCTGTTGCCTGAGGATGAAGACGCAGAACTCTTAGTTCCTTCTCCAGCACCACCTCTGCCTGCATGCCACCTTGTCCAGCCAGGACACTGATGGACTAAGCAGGGGAAACTATAAGCCATCCCGATTAAATGTTTTCCTTGATTAGCGTTGCCATGGTCACGGTGTCTCTTCGCAGCAATAGAAACCCTAACTAAGACACCCACCCAAAGCAATCATGTCTGAAAATGGCTCCCGCCAGCTCAAAAGAGCCCAGTCCATGTCTCCCAGCCCACTCCAGCTGAGCAACTTGGAACCTAATGTTCTGAAACCAGTGGTGGGGAGGTTACTTATACCATGGCCTCGGAAACCCTCAACGCGACCATTCCCAACACTGCAGCAGTTGATCAGCACAGTAGTGGTTCCAGACAGGTATTTTCCTTTTTACTAAAGATACCTTGTTCTTTTGGGAAACCGTTTCCAGTTTGTACTCGACCCACAGTCCGTCCACAATAGAGCTCTGTGGAAGACGACTGGACAACTGCATGGCCGTCTGGCAAACACGTTGTGTTCCGCACTGGTTGCTGATTTACTGATACCGAGATAGGCGTAGAAACTATGTTGATTTTGTGTCCTCCGTCTCCTTTTTGGTTTCGTCTCAGGTCCATGCAAGTTCATCAAACACCCGTTCAGAGTGTGGGAGCTGATCTACAGATCTCTTTCTAGTGCCCTCTCCATTTCTCAGGCACGATCAAAAAAAGTTCCTTCTATTAAAATAAGAAGGCACGATTTAATTGTTACCAAAAGGTAATCTCGACTCCTGTCGTACAATAGAAAGGAAAACTTATTTTAGCCCAGGTTATTTTTATTTTCAGGAGAAGCAAATCCCTGCCATAAAAGCTAATGTATCCGATGTTGTCTCATTAATATTCTGCTCTCTGATTACCAGTTCCAGAAATTACGAAGAGTTGCTTTTAAAATTGATGTTCAAATAAAATATGATTGTGTTTTGCATCTTGCTGCAGTAAAGTCTCTCGCTGGTTTGCTTATGAGAAGCCAAGAAAGGAAGCAATCTTTTGCTGTGGAAAAATACCATGAATATTTATATAGTAGCTGTAGGCTGCAGGGAATTTAAGAAGCTTAGAAAAATGTTTGCAAAGTTTCTAAAGGAGGGAGTCACTGTAATACCACAGGCAGGGATGCATTTGTGTCAAACCTGAAATCATGAGCGTGTTTACTATTATTCTGCTGGACTGGGGTTCATGCAGACTTTTGAAAGTGTTCCTGAAGCAATTTCAGATGCAGATTCTACTTAAAGCTTGCTGTCCAGGATTGTCTGTAGTAGCTTGGTTTGCCTGAGCCTCTCTTAATAAAGGATGAGAGTTGGGGCTTTGGTTTCTACAAGTACCTGTGAAACACCAGCTATATATAATTATATATATATATATATATATATGTGTGTGTGTGTATTACATATTATTTGCACACACACATATATCTACATACAGTACAGATATAATTGCACATTTACCTAACCTCCACACTGTGTCCTTGACTGGATATTAACAAAGTTGGAAATAAAAGCTTACACAGTATAATATTCCACTTATAAGAACATCAAAGATAAGCAAAACTGATCCACATTACATTTGTTGTAGAGATAAGTGACATTCCACTTTGGGTCCTGTGATGCTAGGGACATGGGTTTCTCAGTTTGCAGAACTATGCCATACTATCCACTTAGGATTTCGGCAAAAATGGATGGGTCCTTGATGTGTTCTAAATCGCCTCAAAGAGTGAATGTAAATAAAGGAGTGGATCCCAAGAAACTATTTTTAAAATCAAGTTAATGTCTACAGGGGAAATGAGAAGGTCTGGAGACATGGACCTGTAGTAGAGTATTTGCCTAGTTACAAAAGGTCCTGGCTCCAATGCCCGAGAAATTTCTGTAAGAAATCCTAGGTGGGGTGTGATCTGCAAGTTGAAATAGGTATTTGACTCTGTACAAGGAAGAAGCAATGAACCATGTGTTTGAGCAGATTGTCTCAAGGGAAAGTTTCATATCCTCCCATTAAGACTAAAAGTCAAATCCAAACATTAAAATGCGATTGGAAAACAAGAAAGACTTTCGGGGTCACACTGATAGATAGCTCCACGACAGTTTGGAGAACGCCATTCTGTTGTCTTCTTGGCCCCACCCTCAGATCTGCTGGGGAAAGCTAAGCTAATTGAAGTGGCCGGCAAGCACTTAGTCAATAAATAGCTTGGCTCAGCAGACAGTTAATGCAATACCAGATCAATAGCAGCTCTGAAAATTATTTCTTCACTTCCCTCTATGACTAGTAACTTATCCATGAAGGACAGAATGTCAGCCTTCAGTCAGGGAGGCACAGAGCTTTTCATTATTCTGATCTTAGATGTTGAGAGGGAGGGTGACTGCAAACAGTCCTTATTTTGGTGGGATGTGGGTTTTTTTTTTTGAAATAGAATGAGTTCAGAGAACCTTTTCCAAGGGAGGTTCAGCCTTTTCCATCCAAAGAACTTTCTTTTTCTGGGAAAAAAAAATCACGATTGAAATGAAGAGCAATCACTCTGTCAATCAGTGACCCGGAGTTACCTTTTCACAAGGGATGGGTGGTTATCTGTATGATCTTACACAGTGAAGGGGAAGCCAGACGAGTACTGGAAGACCAGAGGAAGAAAGTCATTAAGATTTTTCTTCATGTGATTCCCTTAGAATGCCTCTAGAATGCCATTTAATTGCCAATGTTGTGGCCACATCTGAATGAAAATAAAATTTTCTAACCACCCGGTCAAAAAACAGGTCCCTGAAAGGACCAATGTTTATTGTAACCTGGTTGTAAGTTACGGCCTTGGGCCTTGATAAAACAGTGGCTCAGATTCTAGGCAGGGAAGGACATACTTCCTAAGACTCAGAACCGCAGCACCGGTTAAGATGTCCAGATGGAGGTCTGATGGCGTCCTGGCTCACGCCAGGTGAGGGAAGTCTCCAATGGTGGAGGGTTGGAGTTCGCTCGTTTCTATCATTAACCGAAGCATACTTTTATTCCCCCTACAGTCAGAGCTCCTTTCTTTGAATCTCCGATGCAGAGTGATGCATGCTCCTCCAGAACCCTTTCTGCTCTACTTATTTCCTTGGAAGCTCCTACCTCCTGGCAGCTCAGGAGCCATTCCCCAGGGGGTGACTAATCTGGAACCAGGAGTGTGTGTTGGGGGTGGGTTCACTTTCTATTCTGAGGGAAAACAGAATAACTACAAAATTCTTTCGTTTCTGAGATAAAATTAAAACTAAATTGCAACGCAAGGTCATTAATTCTGGGGAAAAAAAAACAAAAACGAAACGAAAAATGAAAAGGACTGGTTTGTCGTTTACCCGGATTTCCAGCGCATGCTCCCCTGAATCCAGTGTCCTGTTCTGTGTTGACAACCATGAGGGGCTATTGATCGGCTCACTAGGAATTAATTCTCAGCATTTTTCATGTGTTTGGTCTTTCCCAAATTACAGTAGCCAGAGCGAAGGCAGTCTGCACACAGGGAAATGATCTCTTGTGCTAATTACTGAGTGTTCGAAGATGTACCCAAAAGTGTCAACAACTGAGTCTGGCCATTGCCCATCACTGTCAGGGAGCAAAGACCCCCCTTGGCAGCAGTCCCTTGGTGTGTGTGCTAGGTCTTCAGAGTCAACAGTCCTGTCGCACACCCCACGGTTTTGATGGTCTCTGGCGTCTGACCTCCAGCGCGACCTGAGTCACTGACACTTGGGCAATGACTGTCTGCCTCTTTGCACGTGGTTGCTCTACCCCAGCCACACTGTGTCCTGCTCCCCTTGCGGGTCCTGTCTTTGGTCAATTTCTCCGGCTCCCCGGACTCTGTTCCACATTCTCCCTCGACCTCATTGTGAAATACGTATTCAATGCATCATCTTCTTGTTTCTTTTGTCTCTCCCCGACTTCCCCTTCACAGGGACATGCTTTAATGCTTACCTCGGGTCTGTCTATCTCTTTCACTACTGTGTGAGAACCATCCGGTGACCAGCCTGCATCCCTCTGGCTTGATCTCTGCCCCGAGACCCCAGCATGTGCCCATCGAGTGGTGGGCCCTTGGACGGTTGTAGACTTTCTTTTTCCTCTACATGCCGCAGAAACCAGTACTTTCAGGGTGCTGTAACTTAGGCTGACAATCAGTTGCTTGGCAAATCCTAACTTTCCCTTTCCGTATGGCTTTTGAAGGCAGAGTGTGGCGACAGGTGCCTGTAATCCCAACACTTGGGAAGTGGAGAAGGGATCGGGAAAGAATCGGACTTGGCTGCTCATAGAAGGGGAGCTACATGAGACCCTGTCTCAGAACATAACCCAAGCAAAAAAGTACTGAATAAAAAGCAAAACCTCAGCCTCTGTACAAGTGAATTCAGCATGAATAACTTTTCAGCCTGGTGTGGTGGCACTCAATAGTCTAAGGCACGAGCAGGACTAGAAATTCAAAGCTGGTCTAGACTATATAGCAAGGTTCTTAGAGAAGAAAACAAAGGGGGTGGCAAGATGGTTCAGCAGGTAAAGGAGTGTGCCACACACGTCTCAAATTCAATCCTTGGAACCCAACGGCATGAAGTTGTCCTTTGATATCTACATGAACACCCCACCTCCTCTCCACTTCCTTCTCTCTCTATTTCTCCCTTTCTCTTCCCTCACCTTCTCTGTCACACATACATGCTAATAAGTAAATATCTCTTTAAAAAAATCAAGGTAACAATCCAATCCTAAATCAGGAATGGGTACTGTCTTAGGTAGGGCTTCTGTTGCCGTGATAAACGAAACCAAAGCCAAAGGCATTTCAGAAATGAACAGGCTTATTTCAGTCTTACAGCTTGTCGTCCATCACCCAGGGAAGACAGGAACTCGAGGCGGACACTGGAAGCAGGGACTGAAGCAGAACCTGTGGGGGAGGGTTGCTTACTGGCTTGTTCCTCGCGACTTGCTCCCTAGGCTTTCTTGGGGGCCACTAGAACCCCCTGGGTGGCATTGCCCATTGAGCTGGGTCCTCCCACACCAGTCACTAAGTAAGGAAATCCCCCACCCCCACACCTTTGCATCCAGGGCAGCCATGGGCGTGTCTTCTCAACTGGAGTTCCTCTCTTTCAAAACGACCCACTTGTGTCGAGTTGACGTAGAACTATCTGGGACACATTTTCCAGGTGCACTTGGCTATCGATGGAAATCGAGCCCTAAGTTGCCATAGGAACAATTCCCGACACGTAAAAATGACGAAGGGGATGTAGAGACGCGGGACTGTGCTGGTCTAGCAAAGGAGAGTCCCTGGGTTTGACCCTGCAAAATCATAAAATGAAAGTGAAAGGATTTATCCACCTCCACTTCCGGCTATGAGGACCGGAAGGGTACGAGGAAGGCGTTTGTCTCTGCTGAGCTAACTGGGTCCATCTTCTCTCCCGGCACCTTCCCACCCGCTGTGGGTGCTTAACAAATCTCTGTGTCTGACAGTCCGTAATCCTTGGAACACATTACCCCTTCTATAGCTGTTTCTCATACTGGTTTACAAATTTGATGACGTCACCCTCTTGTCACTCCAGCCTGACCACCGTAACTCCTTCCGATGGAGCGAGCCCGTATTCATCCCGTGCAGGGTGCTGGCGTCCCCCTCCCTCTGGAACACTGCATGTCCTGGCTCCCTATAATGTTTTAGCCCTCTCGGTGCTGCGTCTACTCCCTCTCCAGGACAGGCAACAGACTCGTCTTGCTTCCCCGGTCCTCAATCCAGCCTAGCGCCTGCCTGTTAGTCACTTTTCTGTGATTAAATATAACGGCAAGGGAAACTTACAGAAGACAAGTTTATGTGGCCCTCTGGTTCCAGAGGGTTAGAGGTCATGATGGTGGGGATGGTGTGGCATCAGGCAGCAGGCAGCAGGCAGAGCAGCTGGAACAGCCAGCTGAGAGCTCACATCTTCCACCCCAGATACGAGGAAGAGAGAACACACAGGAAACGGTCTGGTCTTTAACTCCCCAAACCCCACCTCCAGTGACTTACTTTCCCTGACAAGAAGACAACTCGTGAAAACCTCCCCAGCATCTGGGGACTAAGTGGTAGCATACACGAGCCTAATGGGAACATCTTCATTCAAACCACCACAGCCTGCCACAGGACGCCACCACAATCAGCAATGTAAGTGAAGAAAGCCAGGGAAAGAGAGAGGAGGGGGGGGGGAGACAGACAGACCGACAGACAGACGACAGACAGACAGACACACACACACACACATACACACACACACACAGAGAGAGAGAGAGAGAGAGAGAGAGAGAGAGAGAGAGAGAGAGAGAGAGAGAGAGAGAGAGAGAGTGAGTTGTGAGGATGGAATTTCACCAATAAGCCTATGGCAAAATACATTTGAAGTTCGAGATGTTGTTATCCATCCGCTTCCCCCAAACTCTCCCTCCTTGAACAGCCATGCACTTTGCCTACGGTTTTGCTCCTCACACCACTTCTGGGTGGTTCCTTTTAACGATAAACACCACTCATGCTTGCGAAGTATCCGCTAGCATGAGTCCATTAAGTCAATCAATAAGACCATACTTTTTTTCTTTTCTTTTTTTTTTGCAGTGTACTCCATTAAGTGATATCACAGAGAATTGGGAATGCTGTCTTTCTGCTGCCCCCACACAAAGGCCCTGAAATAACGCACCTGACACAAGGTCTGTGTGCAAAGCTGGTGAGTGTGTGCATACACACACACACTCAGTGCCTTCCCCACACGATTGCAGGACCTCCTTCTACTTCAGATGAGCAAGACGAGGAACTGGGAGATCGGGAGAGACTGGATAGGTGGAATTTTGATAAATTCTCAGTTCAAGGTTGAGGAAGTCAAAAGACACACTTTGAGTCAGTGTGATGGTTAGAGGGTGGCTCAGGTGCCTTCCTGGGCTTAGCAGTGTCACCAGCAAGGGAATGTGCCTGGCTGGATACCCCCTGAGCAACTTCCGTCTGAGCTCTCTAGAGGAAAAGATTCTGAACTCTCAGGCTGTGGGCAGAGGCAGTAGTCCAGCTGTGGGTCCAGGTGCCTTTTTGCCACAGCTTAAAATAAATTCTCCATTAAAAAAAAAGAATGTAACCTTGCTGGCCCCTTTGTGGGGAGGCATCTCTGCTACCTGCTGTTCTGAGCTTTGCTAGAAGTTTTCAGGATGACTCAGCTTCCTGCTCCCTCGCTCTCCTGCAGGCAGAGGGTTCTTGTCTATTGCTCTGCAAGTTTTCCAGTATTCAAAACTCATAGGCCCTTTTCCTCTACTGGGAGAAGCATTTAAAAAGGAACTTGGTCTTCTCCCATTAGAAAAGAGGTGTGCTGAAGTTATAGTAATTCCTCGAGCAGTAGGTTGTATATGAGTGTGTGTGTGCGCGCGCGTGCACATATATGTGAGTGTATGTGTGCACAAGTGAGAGTGTGTGTGCATATGTGTGTGAGTGCATGTGTTCACAAGCAAGCATGTGTGTATGAGAGTGTGTGCATGAACTACTGTGTGTGTGTATGAGTGTGTGTGCACAGACTAACATGTGTGTGTTCCAGCCCATCGTGCGGACATGAAGTTTTCTTCTTGACATGACTGGTAGAGATTAGAAGTTTTCACAGTTCTACCTGTGACCCTACTGACATTTCCACTCTCTGGGAAGGAGAGGCAATCAGGCCTGAGACGGTGTCTGGTGTCTGGGGTGCTGCCTGGTCACTAACAGTGTCACCTATAGTGGAGGAAAGGGAGCAGCCCATCCCTTGTGATTCAGGAACACACGCAGGACAATTACTGTATTTTGAGCTTGGACAAAACCTGGGGACCCATGAGAGCCTGCCGTCTGATGGAACCCCGCAGTGAGAGCACAGTATAGCATGGAGGGATGGAGGGGCAGCCCAGCACCTATCCCTGTCTCAGAAGAAAACTATCCAGGCCTCTCCACCACTGCCAGTGTTTGGGAGGTTTGCCCATTTCCCTTAGTGCGATGTCATCTCTGTTAATGAAAACAAACTTTTTTTTCAGAACAAAAGATGGAGGCTTCTGTTCCAACAGGCCCCACAGCCGCTGTGCCCCAAATAAACACACAGATGCTACATTAATTATAAAAGTGTTGGTTGGTGGCTAGGGCTTCTTGTTGGCTAGCTCTCTCTTAATTATTGACCTACAATCACCAATCGATGTATTTCTACATGGCCTCATCTTACCTGGCATATCCTCTCTTCCCTGTCTCTACATGGTGTCTCTTCCCGGCTCCCTCCCTCTGCCTCTGTCCCGCCTACCTTCCTGCCTCTACTGGCTAATCAGTATTTTATTCACCAACCGATAAGAGAAACATATTTACAGAAGGACATTCCCCATCAGTAACTATTTGTGGAAGTTCTGCTATTTGCCTGGGACCATGGAAGACCATATGTATATATAAATTGTATTCTCAAAACCATCCAACAAGATAAACTTCTGTTCCGTCCCTCCCCGTGTGTGTGTGTGTATGTGTGTGTGTGTGTGTGTGTGTGTGTGCTTGTGTGCATGAGTGTTTCCCTGTGGTCACGTGCATGTGTACAGTCATGCATAAGCACATGGAAGTCTGAGGATGGTATCCAGTGTCTTCCTTGATCACTCTCTGCCTTATATTTTGAGTCTCTCCCATAAACCTAGAACTTGCCCTGTCAGCTAGTCTAGCAAACAGGCCCGCGCTGGGCATTCCCTGTCTTCATTTCACACCCTGGGACTGCAGGAGAGCTGCCACACTCACCAGCTTTCACAGCGGTGCCAGAGCTGAACCCTTGTCCCCACACTTGTAAGACATGGGCTGTAACCACTGATCAGTCTGTCCAGCCCCCTCCCTCTGATTTTGTGTGCATCTGTTTTCCTGGCCTCCCTAGCACTCAATGTAGGCTATTGTCATTGTACTTAGCTGTCATAAGTTTAAGGTATTTCATGTGCACACAGTTACTATTCCTGATTTATCTCTTATTCTGAGTGCTTAATGTAGTATCTGGCACAGGATAAGAAATCTTTAAATACTTATGGAATTTTCCTTCTTTTTTTTTGCATGAGGTGTAGTCAGCATTTGAACCCAGGGTTTTGTGCCTTGCCCCCCTACGACTTGGCCCCATGCAAGCTCCCTCTGCCCCTTATAAACAGAAGATCGACTTTAGCTCATTCTCCCCTTCTGTCCCAACCACCCTTTAACAACCATCTTCCCTCTGAGAAAACTTGTGATCAAACCATGAAGCACAAATGCATCTTTTGTAAGGAAAAGACTTTGGGGAAATTGCTCACTGCCTCCGAGCATGGCCAGAGCACAAAGTTAAGCGAAAAAATGAGGATTTTTTTTGTCATAGATATTCCCTGCATTGTGGTCAGAGGCTCAGGTTCCCTTCCGTTCCATGGGGTTCTCATTTCGGTGGAGTCATCTGAAACCAGATCAGGACATCATTGTTCCCATTGGCCACACACAGAAATATCTTCCTTACACAGAGCTACAGAAGGCTTCAGAGATAAGCCATGGTGGGAACTGGCTCCTCCATAGCCAATTAGGAGGTTGAATTCTCCAGGCTCTGGTCACCCTGGTGCAAACAGCAGATGGGACTGGTGTGGGTGTGCAGGCATAGTCTCCCTCCAATTCTTTGCCCATTTCCTTCCTTTTTGATCCCCCCCCCCCGAATTTGTAAGCTTTCATTTTTGGAGGCAGAACGACAGGGAAGAAACCTGGCTATTTTCTGTGTTTGCATTTGGAAATAATAGCTTTGGCATAATCAACACATAGGAATCATCATTTTCTGTTTCCTCATCTACAAAGCAAGGCCTGCTCTTTTCTGAAGACAAATGGAGGAGGAATGGATGGGGGTTAGGGCTGGGAGGAGAGCAGGGAGGGTAAACTGTGGTTGAGATATAATATATGGGAGAAGAATAAATTCAAAAACAAATAAAAGGTCTCAATATATAAAGATTTGCTCAGGATGTCAGTTGGCAGCCATGGAATTAGGCTCTAGAACATTCCAGACTGTGGAGATGACGTCACAGTTAAAGCACTTCCATCAGTTGGCAGCCTTGGCTTTATGATCTGGAACATTCCAGGCTGTGGGGGATGATGTCACAGTTAAAACACTTCCACAGAAGCAAAAGGCCTGGTTTTTCAGAAGTTCAAGACCCACTTAAATGCCAAATTGGCGTAGAAATTAACCCATAATTTCAGTCTTGGAAAGTGGAGACAGAGAGTCGCCGGGACAAAGTGAATAACAGAGTCACCCTCATAGCAAAGCCCTGTACCTAACAGAGAATAATAAGGTAGAAGAATGATATATGATGATTCCCAATAGCAACCATGGTCAGCCACACACTGGCATAAACACGTATGTACACCCATACATACACATTCCCATACACATGCAAACATGTATACAAACATGCATATCTACAAATATCTACGCATGAAAAAAATAAAAGAATTCAGAATATTTACCTTTTCTTTTTTTTTTTTCCAGACAGGTTTTCACTGTGTAGCCCTGGCCATCATGGAACTCGCTCTTGTAGACCAGGCTGGCCTTGAACTCACAGAGCTCCCCCTGCCTCTTGTCTCCCGAGTGCTGGGATTAAAGGTATGCATCCTCACTGCCCAGCTAGAGTTCATAATATTTGTCATCCACAGCAGCTGAGCTATGGAGTCCTTCCTCAAAGATACTATTTATCAACAAGATGAATAATTGGCTATGCTTAAGGCACTGTCAAACTTCTCTCATAAGCTGTCTTAAAAATTTTATATGTTGACCAATGTAGAAAGCAAATATGCATTTTGTTTGAGAACAAGTTGAAAATGTCGATTAACCATTTATGGAAGCGATCAAGGACTTGACACTGCACATGGATTTTCAGTGAGGATGCAGCCAAATCCAGAACGCACAAATGAGAGAAATAGTTTCTAGAAAACAGGTTTTTAGAATCAATACTAACACTAGGCCTTGGCGAACT